GCCGCAGGTGGAGCCTGCCCAACGCCGAGCGCTACGCCCTGCAGTACGTGGACGGGCGGCAGACCTACATCACCGAGTCGGTGAGACGCACCCCGGCCTCTCCCCGGCCTGGCCAGTGTGGCAGTCACTGGCTTACTGTTTCCTTTCTCCTTGCAGAACCGTGGGGAGATTAAGAACGGAAGCATTTTACGGCTGACCACCTCCCCGGTACATCCCTTTGCCTCCCTGGCTCCTTCTCTGCTACGTGCTCTGGTGGGATGTCTGGCCTGCGACAGGGCGACGTGGTGCTCCAAGCCCTCTGCCGCTGCCTCGCTTGGCGACTTCTGGCTCGTGATGGCTCCTCTTGGTGCCTCAGACCCAGCAGACCTGTCTCAGCCTTCGTTCTCGCTCGGCAGAGCTTGGGGGAGTTTGAAGAGACACTAAATCATCTCGAGATGCTTTGGACGCGTAGGCCAACTCATCAAGCGTTCTTAGCATCGTGCCACTTTGACCTCCTTCCTCAGCTCCTCCTGGTCTCTGCTCTGGTGGCTCTGTCTCTCAGTCCAGCTCCTCCAGCTCAGGGCTGCTTTAGCCTGAGCCTCCTTCCAAAACTTGTGCTTAAGCTCTTCCAGCCTTCTCCAGGCTTTTCGCTGTCTTTCGATGAGCCCCTTTGGCTTGATTCTTTCCTTCCCGGTAGGACCAAGAAGCAGAGAGGTTATACAGCGGGATCCAGAGCAACAACTCAGATGTGAAGACTGACTCACTGAAGAAGCTTGCAAGCCTCTCCCAAGACGTTACCTTTGCTCAGGAGTTCATCAACAGGAATGGCTTGAAACAAATCTTCCACATTGTGGAAGAAGGGAATGCGTGAGTATCAGGAGAGGACTTTCCTTGCAGTTCTTGGCTTTTCTTCTCCCTTCCTAACGCTGTGTGAGCTCCAAGCTGGCTGTTGGAGTGGACTCGGTTCGTATTCCTGGCTTGTTGATCCCTGTGCTGTGGCACGAAGGGCAGCGCTGGGCAGCGGGGCGCTTGGCTCTGCGGGCTCCTTACCTGCCCAAACGTGTCTGTGTCTCCACACACCAGCAGCCAGGGAAGGTCCTCAGGGGTCTGTGGTCCTGACTCCTCGTGAACGTGCCCAGACTTGAACCTCCCATCCCTTTGCTGGCTGAGTCATCTGCAGCCCCATGGGTTTTCCCACCAGGAAACCTCCTGTGCTGATCCTCGCCTCTGCTGCTGCTCCCTCCTGCCACCCCGATAATCCCTCTGCCCTGAGGTTTGGGCTGCAAGAGATCTGCAGGCAGCTCGAGGAAACCCTGGTTGCCAAACACTAGTGCCTGCTTGACTCTTTCAGGACGGGATGGTGCATCTCTGAGCTCCTGTCTCGCAGAGGATGTGGAGCCTAAAACCAGGCAGCACAGCGCGTGCTTCTTGGAAGTACGGGGAGGCATTTGGGGTGGCTTGGCTTTCCCAAGGGCTTGTCTGCACTGATCTTTGTACTGTGGTAATGCAGCTTTCCAGAAACTGCTGAACTTCCCCTGCCTTGACTTCCTGGGATGACTAAGCATGAGTCTGACTTCTTACCCAACAGCCTCTCTTTCCTTTCTTCTCCTGCTCGCTGCTCTCCGCTTTGCTAGCCGTTTCTAACGTACGACCGGAGTGCAGTTGTATGGTGGTGACTGTGGGGTATCTGGAGCCATCCTCACTGTGTTTGCTCATCTGTCCCTCCAGCACAGGGGAGATGTTAGCTCACACCCTGAAGGCCTTCATGGAGCTGATGGAGCATGATTTTGTTTCCTGGGAGACTCTCAGTGCAGCCTTCATCAAGAAGGTGAGCACCTTCCGCAGCCTCCACAGCCTGTGCCCGTGGGATCCCTTGTTGCCGTCGTCACCCAGGCTCAGCCTGCCGTTGACAGATGGTTCTGTGTCTCGCAGATAGTGAGTTACGTCAATATGAATGCTGTGGACGCATCTGTCCAGCAGCTCTCCTTGTCTATCCTGGAGAACATGGTGCCTACCAGCCGCCTCCTCTTTGAGCTAGTCAAAAAAGAAGTGACGCTGGATCGTCTCCTCACCCACCTGCAGGTGTAAGTGGAGAGGCCGAAGCATCCTCCGCACCCATCCCACAGCCGGTGGGGATCAGGGGCTGGAGGGGATTTCTCTGGGTCTGGCTGATTATCCCTGGCACAATGTTGTGTTGTCCCTTCTCGAGCAACTTGTGGGAGATCAGCCTGTCCCGTCCCCAGTGCTCGGGGAGGGATGGACTGTGCTGGAAGCCATCCTGTTTCCAGGTCAGATTCCTTCATTCATGGCCTGTTGCACTCGGATATTTTAGTTCTTTAGCTGACCCGCTGCTTTTCCGGCCTTGGCTCTGCCTTCGCATTCCCTGGTGTATTTAGAAGCAGTAGTATATTCCTGCAACTTGGGGTGGTGGTGCTGTGCTGAACAGAGTTCGTTAAATCCCTCAGCTAAGGCAGGTTCTTCGTTCCATCGTCTTCCTCATGCCTACGCATCTCTTCAGTTTGGAGGTTTCTCTTTCCAGAAAAGGGAGAGGCTCGTGCCCAGGGCTCCTGCCAGACGGGAGCCTGCTGCTCGCCCTGGGCTTTCCCACCCCGGGGAGGGTGAGACCATCCTCGGGGCTGGTGGCTCTCCTCATCCCCATCCTCCTGTCCTGCAGGACGAACGCCCAGCTGCAGCTGAAGGCGATGGCCCTGCTCATTGCGCTGCTGCTGGCAGCGACCGACGCCGAGCGGCAGGTAAGAGGCTGTTCTGTGGAGGCAGGACCAGGTGACAGCAGGGCGGTGGGCACCGCAGGTCCAGTGCCCCTGTCCCGGGGGTGCTCTGCCAAGAAGCCTCTGCTGTCTCACACCCCGTGGAGTGGTTCTGGGGGGATGCAAGAGCTCAGATGACAGAAGGAGTATCACAGCCGGTGGTGGCACGGTGACCGTGATGGCCCAGACCCAGCGCCTGGCACATCTCAGCCATGGTGGCTGGGCCCCCCTGTGATGGAGTCTTGGGCAGCTGGGTCCTGCGCCATGGTGTTTGTGTTCTCTGGGGTGGTGGGGCTGTGAGAGGTGCCTGGAGATGTTCCAAGCCGGTGTCCTCGCTCTGTCCCTTTTCCCCAACCGACACAGCCTGTCCTGGCCACCGGGC